TTTAACCTGAAAAATGGAAATTACTAAACGATTGGTCAAATAACTGTGTAGAAAGTGTGATTATGGATTATAGTTCTAGAAGATCACTAACTACCCATAGTTAATGACTAAAAGTTACTCATATAATTTAGTCTAGTTCCATGACCAGTAACCACTCATACCCAACGACTAATACCTGTTTTAGTTTCAATATAGCAAATAAATCTATCAATGCTAACGATGACACTAACTGGGCTACAACATTTACAATGCAAAATACTGAGCAACAACAAAAACATAATTATAATCAAATTACAAATCTAGCCGTTATTGATAAATATACTGTGTGAAACGATCTATCTTCAATCTTTATTTTTATCTATCTTTAAACGATTTAAATTTGAATGTAGTTTTTATCAAAAAGCAAATCTAAGCACTACTAACACCAATACTAAATTAAGTCAAACATTGAAAATGGTTAAAAGTACAAGAAAAAAAATATATCTAATCTGTTAAAAATTCAACTGAATTAAAAAAAATTAACTAATGACTTGTAAAATATACTTTCTTCTTTGTTGCTATTGTATTGAATTTTTAATATAAACAAAATTAAATTAAATATAATAAATCTTTTTTCACAGTCAACGTAACATATTCTTACATTGACTGCCATTAACTCCCATTACTTAGTGTACTAATTAATTATTTATAATAATAATAATAATAATAAGCCTTACTCGACGTCAAATATTTCGAGCAGCCTCTTATACTGGGCATATACTGTCTATATTGCAAGTCGCTTCCATCTTTCGCGCTGCAACGCTACGTCCTTTGTATCAGTAATGTTGTTTATTCTAATTAATTACTTATTAATTATTAATTAATTACCTTATCCTATCACAAGCTAGACAATTCTTAAATATTGTAATTTAATTAACTTAAGTACTACAAATGAGATCCTAATGCACTATTTCACCTCTTTTACGAGTATGTGGTGTATGTATCAGACTTAAAGGGTCGTCTTCCGCTAGTTTATCTAACGACTTCATCATTAATATTTCACACTTGATATGATATCACATGACAAGTAAAAAATCCGATTGATAAAAAAGGTGGTAGACTCCCATTCATGGGAAAGAAAGATGACCGAAGATCTCTTGTCCAAGTTTTACTTGAAATTACGTAAACTTGCTTATAAGTTACAGCTTTACTTATTTTAACACTATATTATTTAATTAATCGCAAAATTTATCTTTTAATTATTTTCTTATAATATAAAATACCGTATTAATTTTTAAAATAAAAAATATATTGATCAATGTATATGTATATTAATTATGCCTCAATATTTTTTTCATTTCAGACTTTCTTAGTTAATAACTATAATATCAAAACTAACAATTTAATTGTATATAACTATCAATAAATTTATTAAATAAAAATTGAAATTATGTCGTGGCCTGAAAATGTTGGTATATGCGCTATTGAAGTCCTCTTCCCTTCACAATATGTTGACCAAACCGAGCTAGAACAGTTTGATGGTGCATCAGCTGGAAAATACACAATTGGACTGGGTCAAGCGAAAATGGGTTTTTGCTCGGATCGAGAAGATGTTAACTCACTCTGCCTAACGGTTGTAAGTCGTTTAATGGAGCGACATCACATAAAGCCTACCGAAATCGGTCGATTAGAAGTGGGCACCGAAACAATAGTTGATAAATCGAAATCTGTGAAATCAGTGCTAATGCAATTATTTGCCGATAGTGGCAATACAGATATTGAAGGAATTGATACGACAAATGCATGCTATGGTGGTACAGCTGCATTATTCAACTCAGTCAACTGGATTGAATCATCTAGTTGGGATGGTCGTTATGCATTGGCAGTTTGTGCAGATATTGCTGTTTATGCAAAAGGAGCTGCACGTCCAACTGGTGGTGCTGGCGCCATTGCAATGCTTGTGGGACCAAACGCCCCCCTCGTTCTTGAACGTGGTTTAAGGGCAACACATATGGAGCACGCCTATGATTTTTATAAACCAGATCTCAGTTCCGAATATCCGACTGTTGATGGTAAATTATCTATACAATGCTACCTCTCTGCACTTGACACGTGCTATCAATTATATCGTAAAAAACTCGAAAAAAGAAATCCTAAAGCCGCCGATTTGGGTTTAGAAAATTTCGATGCAATACTCTTTCATACGCCATTCTGCAAATTAGTGCAGAAATCTGTAGCACGCTTGTGCTTTAATGATTATTTACTAACAAACAAGGAAAAGCGTGCCAGCAAATATGTTGGTTTAGAACGTTTCGATAACTCCACACTTGAGTCAACGTACTTCGATCGTGATGTGGAAAAAGCTTTTATGACACAATTTAATAATGTATTTGAATCGAAAACCAAAAAGTCCTTACTACTCGCCAATCAAGTGGGAAATATGTATACGCCGTCTGTGTACTCTGGTCTTGCTTCGCTTTTGGTCAATGTCAATTCTGCGGAGCTACTTGGAAAACGTATTGGAGTATTTTCATACGGCTCGGGTTTAGCAGCCTCGATGTACTCCATTGCAGTTACACAGGACGCAAAAGCTTTCGAAAAATTTGTACAAAAATTGAACTATGTTTTGCCAGCACTGAACTCAAGGGAGAAAGTAGCACCAGAAACTTTTTCAGAACTAATGGAAGTAAGGGAGAAGAACAACCATGCTGCACCCTACACGCCAACCGGCAGCATAAGTGCGCTATTTCCAGGCACATACTACCTCAAAAATGTTGATGAGTTACATCGACGTACCTATGAACGCACGCCTACCATTTCAAATGGAGTTCACTAAAAATATGGAGCAAAGGATAGCTGTAGTACTTCCTGCAAAAGGAAGGTAACTGTTTGGACGTTGTGTAATTTAAACGGTGCTTTAAGTGGAATTAGCTTTAAGGTATTTCTAACCTGATATTAACTGCCCACACATCTTAATTAAAATATTTTTTTTTTACTTTCAGATAATGCACTTCATTAAACAGTTTGAATTCATAAAATAGAAATCGTGTGACAATAATTTATTTATATTTTAATGTACAAAACTTAATTTTAACTATTTGTATGCATGACAGAATATTATACTATATATAATGCAAGTATATAAATTACAAATACTTTAGGTTGAATAATGCTATATGTTAAAAGGGAGGTACATTAATTTAATATTAATTGTTTGTATTATGGACATTAATGCACCTTCATTGGTTCAGGGTTTTATTGTTTAGTTATTATGTATAGGCTTTTACTGCTTGTTAAATATTTTAATTTATAAATATATGAATGTATATGATTTTAAGGAAATATATATGAAAAAATAATTTACTACAAATAATTACTGCTCAAATTTAATATTTTGTTATCAGAAATCTAAAGAGTCTTTCTCACTAAAACACTTAAGAGTTTATAAATATTGAATATGTAGTTACAGTGTTATTATAAGGATTTCAATTTTTTTTTCGATTGTTTACCACTGGAATTGCCCCAACTACTCCATACTCTTAATTAGCCTGAAACAATATTTGGAAACTAGTTGCTTATTATATGATAAGGTAGTCAAACATATGTAGCATGCTAGGTTGATTGATGATTATACAAATGCCTCTAAAGGACGTCGTCGTATTGATAATAAGTAAATTTCACTTGCAACAATTTATTAAAAACCTAAATCTGGTATCACGGGAATCAGAGCCCTCAGTTCCTACAGTCTTAACCTAATTTGGACTCCTTTAAAAGAATATTGTGATGGTTGTGCTTAAAACTAAACGTACACGGTTTGAATGACAGTATTTATTTACTTTTATTAATGTGGAGTTACATTTTCCAAACTATTGCCACGAGCTGAAGAAGTGCAGAGGTGTTAGATAAACAATATACCTAACTAAAGATAAAGTTGGCTACAAGCCTTTTTAAGCAGTCATCCACTTGGTAAATCTCCTGGACTTTCTCATACATATAGTACAACGTTTCATTAAGTAGAATATTTTCATAAAAACTTCGCAAAAAATATAGTGCTAATATATATTCCGTTGTTTAATACATTTCAATTCGAATCGACGCAAATCGGAGTATTAGTGTATACTCCTATATAATTATTGGTATTTCGTAAAGAAAGAAAAAGAAAAAAAAAAAGAAAAATTTTACGAAATTCGTACCGCATAGATGATAGCCTTATATAGTATACATAGAACTTCATTTATTAACATTATCCTACAATTAACAACCAGATAGAATAATGGTTCAAGTTACTAAAAAATTTAAATAAATAAAATGTTAAAATTGCATTTTCTACTGTAGTTCATATTTTTTTCCATGACAGGAAATAATCAAGCAATATAAGCTGATGTGACTGATAGGATAGCGAAAATCCTAAGTACATACTTAATTACCGGAAAACACATTCCATCGATGTACTTTAACAAAACATTAGTAGATGCATTAGACTTCTACTCGATTTTTGTATAGACAATACCATTTTGTTATCAATTTATTTATATGTAGTTATAGGTTCACTTCAAAAGATATTTCAGCCTCAGCAGACCCTACTTTGGCTATGCGTTTGACTAGAACGACCAAAAATTGTACCACTATTTTGAGATTTTAATATTACTATTATTAAAAATATGATTATTTCTTTGAAGTGGCTCTTGGCCGTCGATGGGAAGTAGCTATGATACGTAGAATAAACCGCTTCCCGATTTACTGCATTTATAGAACGGTGTGCTCCTCTATTTGAGATGAAGAGAACTAATCGTTTTATGTAGTATATGTACTATATTAATGACGTTTTTATATTCTATTGTTTGTCATAATAGAATTATAATTTATGTTCCTTATAATTAGTAGGTATATTCGATTAAGTATGTAAACGAATATATTCAACGTATTTAAGAACTTGTTAGGCTCTTAACTATTAAAATAATTATCTGTTAAATATTTTATTAAATTTAAGTTCACTAAACAACTAAAAAATGTTTGGTTTTATTTTTAAATATTTTATTACATTTTATAAAGCAGTAAATTTAAAGAAAGTTACACCTAAAAAATAAAAATGAATATTGAGTAAAAACTTTATGAAAACATTTTGAAATCTATTACCATTAGGATTCACGCGTGTTTCAAATGTGCTTATCGACTTAAACTTTCCCAAACGAATTTTTGAATCAAACAAATCCTAAAATAATATTTGTTTATTAAAAAAGTATTTGCATATATTATATAAATGAATATGCGTACCACAGCACTATATCCACGGATATTTCGTAAACCAATTTCTTGCAATATAAATTTAGTGGTATAAGGTGCGCCATCGGTACGGCGGCTAACAAATGCGACAGCGTATGAATATTCACCTGAAGTGCTAACAGGGGTGATAGGTCTAGTCCAAACCTGTAAGAAATTAAAAATTCACTTTTACTACAAAATTTAACAATTAATATATAATGTACAAAATCTACCTCAATATTATTTCTGAGAGTTACACGGCGACCTTGTATACCTAAAGGATCTTGATCTACAGCAATGATATCTCTGCCAAAAATAAATGCTCATTTATTGCAATTTGTGTATATGTAAGCATATAAGTACTATAAATAGATTTTATACCTATTTTGTAGAATTGCTTTTATTTCTGGTCGCACAGCTGCTAAGTCGTTTGACATTATCAATGGCGCAGCTAATATAGACCAAATTGCCATTTGCAATTTACTTTGATCATAGCTAAGACCGTAGTTACCTAAAATTAACTGGGAAAGAGATTTTATATAAATAAATATTATTTTATATACCATATCTTATATCTTATTATGTACCATATCTGGATCATTCCAATGACCTGGTCCAGCATGTGGTTGTATGCGATCTTGATTCTTTGAGAAGTAGTCCATGATATGCGCAACAGATTCAAACGAGTCATCGATATCATCCCAATTGCGCCATAAATTACAATGCTCTTTCAATGCTTCATAATTAGGCTGAATAAATTTATTTATTTATAATTATTCTTATAATAAATTTATTCATTTGTTATCTATATTACCAATTTGCCTTCGTATTCTTGATATACCGGCCAACTACATGAGTAAACCATTGAACGACCAGTCTTATTAAGTAAACGTCCAAATTCTGGATAACCTTGATCCATATCGTTGATATTGGCATAACAACCATCTAATTTAACATAATCCACATCCCAATCGGCAAATGTTTTAGCATCCAATGCCATGTGATTAATTACACCTGGATAACCTGCGCAAGTATTTGTGCCATAATCTTGATATAAACCGAATTTTAAACCTTTCTGATGTATCTGTAAGTCAAGAAGTTACAGTAATTTCAAATAAATTATCTTTTTTTCATAATTTTTATGTAATGCATACATAATCAGCCAAAGCATTAAGTCCACTAGGAAATCGTATGGCGTCAGGTACCAATTTTTGTGTGACATTATCACGATCCTTCTCTAGCCAGCAATCATCAATGATAACATATTCATAACCAGCATCTGCATATCCTTCAGAGACTAACATATCCGAAGTACGTTTAAAAAGTTGTTCACTATAAGGTTAACAAGATATTTGTTAAGTGGAATATATCTTATATAAATTATTTCATCTTATTTTATTATTATTAAATATTAATATGGTATATATAATTATCTTCAAAAGAAATTGATCACGTCAGTGAGAACATATTTTAAATTCATGTGATCCATTTTCAATTATTTTTATTACTTTGAATTGTTTAATAATTTTATTTCAATTTACATTAATTTAATAGATCCCAACAGACTTAAACGTGATCTTCAAATTATATTAAATGTTTTTTATTCGGATTGAAGTTTTATGTAGCTTTAAGAAAGGACAGTATATCTGTCTTTATAGAACTTGAAATTTTTTAACAAGTATCAGGAATAAAAAGAATATGGAATACCTTCGATCACACATTCCAAAATTTTCTCTTGCAATTCAAAAAAAAAAAAATCATTATTCTACAAGTATCATTAAATATTAGATATTAGAAAATTAAATATTAGAAACATTAAATATTAAAGGATCTACTAGCTGTGCTTTGTAGCTCCCTCTTGTTTAGTTAAGCATGGCTGCTGAAGCATGGCTTCATTGCCTTCTTGTCCATCAATACTTGGGACTTATTTTAACTGGAAAGTATATAACTATGAATAGTTCTCATAAGAAATTAATAATAGTTACTACTAAGTAATTAGTAATAGTTGCTAGTAAGCAAGTAGTTATAACAGTAACTAATAATAATTACTATTTAGTAATTACTATTTCGTAATTAGCAATAATAACAAGTAAGTAACTAGTTCGGTTACACAATTTATAAAAATTACTTAAAAGGGATTCAGTGTTCTACTGATAAATACATTTATTTCCATATTCGCTAAATTAATTAAAAATAATTAATTTTAATAATTAATAATCGAAATAGAGTCCAAACCGAAATAAAGAGTGCCAAAAAAATATTTACTTGAATCAAAGTTTCTGTCATTAAACCCGATAACCCATAAGTGCTTTATGACCTCGATTGAAGCAAGAAATTATAAAAATTATAACTATACTATAGTGTAGTCATAGATTTACAATGTTAGAGTATTTTTTGTTTCTATCTATCTCTATTGTTTGTTCGATCTGTTGATCGTTTCTAGCAAATGGATAAAAATACTACAAATAGAAAGATGTTTGAATTGGTGAATGCTGGTGTAAATTGTGGCGAATTCGATAAAAGATCTAGGTGACACGACAGCAAGCCTCTAAACGGGCGTGTTAGTATAACCTATTGGATACGACTAAGGATGCTATAAATCTATAAATACCATCTCTCTTGCTACTTGTACTTTACCAATTCACAATACTCTCTTGTTTCTTGAAATTTAAATTGAAAAAAAACTGTGATATACACCTGGTTCAATTTTTCAAAGATTAAACCTTGAAATTCCACATTAAGTAAATTTAGGTTCAAGCCAAAAATATAATTAATATAGTAGAGCATTTTAGTAGAGTAGAGTAGAGTATTTAAACCAATAAAAATATTTTTGAAATAAGAAGAAATAATACAAATATTATTGATTTTGAGTAGAAAGGTACAATATATTATTTTTATATACTTTAAAAAAGAATAATCCATATTAATTAATTTATTTATTAACTATTGAACTATTCGCAGTATTTTGGTTTTATTATCTCTTATATTTCTCGTAAATAAGGCCGACAAATCTCTAAGAAAAATATCGAAAAATACCACGTTATGTCGCGTATAGTGGTTTTTATCTGTTTTTTTATTATTTTTAATTCTAAATAAACTAATTAATTAAAAATTTCAATAAATTAATCAAATTTTTGTTGTTGCTTTTTCATTACTCTTCGAATCCTTCTAGTTTCTTTTTATGATAAGACGCGTCAGATTCCACAAAAATTATTAACATTAAGAAATATAATATTTTTAATTTATATAAAAAACATATGGTATAATAGTCTTCTTTCATCCCAATTGAAGTCTATGACAAAATAAATATTTTTGGTACTTTCGACTATATAAAAATTTTTAATTTTGAATCAAAAACGACGAATACTTTTTGCTCAAGCCAATATTTAAGTTTTTTGCTCTTGTATGGCATAATCTTTGTAATCCAGTTCTTATTCCAGCTTTAGACATTGATTCTTATAAAGACTACTATCAAAAGTAAACGAATAAATAGCAAATTAAGAGAGAAATTAATGGAATAAATCTTAAATTAAAAATAAATTATTTCTTCGTATAAAATATTAATCAAGAGAAAAAATCTGATCTATTAAAAATTTCTTAGAATTAAAGGTATTTCGTTGTATTCAAAACTTGTGTTGCTTTTAATAATTTTTAAGTGACTTAATTATTTTAAGTTATATCATACATTTTTATTTTTTATTATCAATATAAATTAATTACTCTGATTTAATTATTTATTTTAAGCTATATTGTACATTTTCATTATTTATTATTAATGTGAATAATTATTGAAAATTATTTGATTTATCTCTTATCCTTAATAAAACTTTCAAATCTTTCACAAATAATTTCAAGTACACACCTTATGCACTCGTTAGGATATTTTTCACAATCGGTGATACAACGGAAACGTTCCCAATGCATCCAGCCCATGGGTGGTGTCCTAGCTAAACCATTTTCTAAAGCGGCAACATAATTTAGAACAAAAAGCACTAATAGTAAATATTTTAGAACATTTTTAAACATTTTGAAGCACTTCTTTTAATTTTCACTTTTTTTTTGAAAAGTCAACACCTGAGAACCACAACCCACTGAATGAATCCTTTCCCAAGCGAAGCAATGATTTTATAGTTACAAGTTGCATAAAAATTTATCTTTGAAGTGCATAAGTGAGTTCTCATTGATAAAACTACGAGTAACAGTAAAAGATATCGTCACACAATATTGTTTCTATAATTGTTTTGGAATTGAAGCTCTTGGAGTGTGTGCCACTCCAAATCAACCGAATTTATAGCGAAGAAGAAATCCGCACAGCGTGGAACCGCGCACTGCGTTCTTATCACTTCTAGTTTCAATTTTTTTTCTACGTCTAAGTTCAGTGGTCGAGAGCTCAACGGGCCTGTTTATTATTTATTTGTAAATACCGTTTCTTATGTACAATAGTTTATTTATATACTGCATATTCTGTATATACTCGCATAAAAAACTATTTGAAATGAGCCACTTGATACTCTCAAAAATCGAATGAGCAACGCGATTGTGTGATTATTTGCCCCCGCACTGGCGAACTGCTTGGTTTTAGTGATAAGCTAGAGCTAAATGGATCCAATTATGTATATGCAGTTCACTCGCTATAGTGGGACTTGTTATTGTTTGTTTTTGTTAGTGCCAATTACTTTCCGCTGGTTTCGTTTTCATCGAAATGCAGAAATGAGAGATAAGCTAAGCCGGCTTCGCCTTGATAGTGAAATTAAGAACAAAACACAACTGAGAAATACTGTAAAGCAAGTGCAGTGGCTCACAATATATTTCAAAAGAGGATTTCTTTTTATTTTGAATACTCTAATAACAAACATCAATGCTCTCTTAATTCTATTCTTATACAAAGTTACAATATCAGTTAAGTTGAGAATCATTATATATAGATTCCCATAGTTACAACTTTCTAAATTTTATAGTTAGTGGGCTTTAGTGGTGGAAAAACGTTTACTTCTTTTTAAATGCAGTACAGGTACTGTTTTGTTAACCTAAATCCGTTTATAAATTTCTTAGTTTCTGAAACTAAATTGGAAGATTGATAACCATGATTATTTTCTGAAGATCCATATTTAAAATATCAGCCAGGCTCCCACCTTCTAGTTGCAATCGAATCGAATATTATCAGTTTTCTTAAAAAAGATATAGATAATAATATTTATGCAACCAATATTTAAAAAAATTTACTGAAACTCATAGACTACGAATTATAAGTGAAGAAGAAGATATGGTGAAAACTGCGTTTTACAAAGCCACAGTAATAACCGAATCTAGCGGATATTTAGGCCAAACATTATATAAAATACTGATTTAAGATTCAAAATTAAGCAACCACCAATCACTAAAATTATATTAATCGAATATATAAATGACTTGATAGCATTCAAAGCGGACTTACAGAAGAATTTTTTAAAAAAAATAGCTTGGTAATAAACCTCAAGACAGAAGAGACCCAGGTGTTGCACCACACATGGAAAATGCATATAGAAACAGACCTCCAAAGAACTTATAAAGAAACTTCGTCAAGTTAAGCAATTAATTTATTCAACTCTGTGCCGACTAAGTTCATTAGAAACTATTTATAACAACCCTATATTTCCTGAAGGAATTTTAAGAATTAAATTTACATAAATATAGTTATGTTAATAGTTTTATAATAATTTTATGAGACATAATATTTTGCATTTACTTTATTTAAAATAACTTAATAACAATTAAAACTAAACCAATTTATTTCAATAACAACCGATTCTAGGGCATCAAGTTCAAGTCTTAAGAATGCAGAACAAAAAATAGAGGGTCTTTCATTCCTTATAGAAGCAACTTGAAGGTAGTATAATAAATATGACTGTGTTTGTACTGATCAGTACACTAAGTTGGTCAATAAGTTCATTTCATACTATTAAAGAAGATTTAACTTTTATTGGCATTTCAATATTTCATATCTTATAAGAACGGAGTCAAAATTTCTTTACGATTTCATTTTATTCTTAGTTTATATATATTCATATATTGTATACAATAAAGATTTCGTCTAAAACCTAACAAAGCATAGCTATATAGCGCTACTTATAAAAAAAAATAACATCTCCTTTCTTAGACTTTCATTTCTTTCTTTGAGGTGCTGGAGACCTGAGACGAATAGTCTAATAATTTTCCTGTTTCTTGTATTTATGACAAATTGAACTACTGACTTGCACTTGATTGAAAGTTTTGTATTTTTAAATATAAATATATTAAATACATATTTACACAGTCGCAATAAACAAACTTTTTGAGCTACGTCATCACTTCTTGCAAATTGACAAAGGCAAGGAATTTTATAATATAGGTTTTATGTATTTTGTCGCCTTCGATTGTTTTTATTATTTGTTTATTCTCCAGTTTTTATGTAAATTGATATTTATTTAATATATAAATAACTTATATAGAAAGTCTTTGTTTAGTTTCAAGTGATTCTTATGTAGATATATCACTCTATATAGTGCTAGCAAGAATTTCGCACCTACTATCGTCCTAGACACCCTACAACAAATATATCAAGACCAGCTGATAAAGACACTCTACAACTAATAGATCAAAACCATCTGATAAAGACACTATACAACTAATAGATCAAAACCAGCTGATAAATATATATAGTATGATATATATATATATAGTATTATATATATATAGTATATTTTGTTCGTGTCGCCAAAATCGATGAAAATGCTTCTGTTAAAAATATTTGATTCGCGATCCGTTAGTGGCTAACTTGGACCTATTTATTTTTAATGGAAGTACTATAAGCTGACGGCACAAACTACTGCCAACTGGCGTTAGAGAGCCAATGTCGGTCTGGTTAGTTGAGACTACTGAACATAGGCTTCTCTAAAGTTTTACTAAATAAATTATAAACTAATTATATAATTTCTTATATTAAAATTTTAATTAAGAATTTAATGTGCTATGACAAGACATCTGTTTTCAATAAAAAAAAAGGTAATTAACACTTTCAAAAAAAAAAAATTATTTTTTTAAATAATGAGTTCTGGAGTACATCATGCAGCTGCTTTGTATATCGCCAAATATCAATCAACATATCAATTAAAAATTTTTTTAATTTGATTTAATAATTTTAATCACAATCTATTATTCGATATATTCGATATACATATATCTGTTTTTTATACCTATGGGAGTTCCACAAATAATACAAAGTAATCAATAACATTGATCTAACATAATATACAAAAGTTCATTTATTTTATTTTATTTTATTATTTAATTAAATATGAATAACTTACGAAATATACAAATGTTTCCAAATAGGTACTCAAATTTCAAGAACCTTTTGTTTTGGAGGTTACTATTTATTTAATAAAATCTAAAAGTTATACTAACCTAGAAATTCCGATCGAAACGATAGATTTTTTAATTTTCATATTAGAACTAAAAGTGTGTTGTGTTCAAATTTTGTACTCAAGAAGAAGAAGAAAAAGTACACAATCGTATGGATGAATATCTAAAAGAGAGGTTGTATAATTTTGACCCAGTTCTGAACAAGTTGTTGACAACGGCAACCGCAATAGAATGTACTTACTTCACTTAAGTAATTAATATTTGCTCAACAATTTATTTTAGTACGAGTAATATAATATATATACGTATTGCATTTAGTGATTGGATTGCTCACAAGTTGCCGCTAATAAATATTTCAAATTGCAGAAATACTCGTACGTCCAAATCGGCAATTACAATCAATCAATCTATTATCGTTTCAGTCAGATAACAATAGCACTCCAAATTAGCTTTGGATGATTGAAAATATTGATTCTAGCTCAGATGATATGATAGCTGAGCAGATATGCATGCCACTTGATAATATTGACCATAAAAATGCCAACATAAATGTTATCTATTGATTCAGATTATATATTGTTCATTCAAATGTAAGTCTGTAAATAGACTACAATAACCGGAGTAGGTATGGAATATGTTAGGTGCATCTATTATGATCACTACTTAATTACATTACACTGTTGACAAATTCATTTCGGTTTTGAGTACTTTGACTATCGCATAATAGTTTAATAGCAAGTAATATCAAAGAACGTTTACTAGAAAATATCACCAGAGAGCAAGAGTACTGCAAACCACAATTAATCCCAACCAAAATAAGACAATCAACCTTTCAGATAAAGACTGGAATATCTTCCATTAGACAGTTGTTAATATTGGGCAAAATCAATACCAACCACTACAATATTCTATTTATAATCCAGATCAACTGCAGATATGACTAGAAATCTCATCCTGTTCTAAATATATTCACAAATTCAGTGACTGCATTTGGCTAAGAGACCTTCTAAACCTTCAGTTTAGAAAATATCCTACTAATTCATTAATATTTAAATTATAAAGAACGTATTAGACTAAAACTAGAGAAGTCTCTACTCATAACTCAGGAACTCATTCAACACATTTTATTATATATTCTATCATTAAATAATTAAAGATATAATTACAAACAGTTATTGAAAACTTACTATAGTGACTTATTTAATACGAGATGGAAAGATTCAACTATATACATACATCTATACGTACCTTGGCTTCTTCTCAATAAGAATCTGTTTATATCATTGAGATAGCAAGAAAATACATCAGTCCTTCAGTACTTAAGAACTAACGAATTACATTTGGTTAGGTACCTATTCTTAAAGATCGAATCTTTCTTTCAATGATTCCTGCTACACTTGTAAGAAAGTAGTTGCCATTTTCTAAATTTCATTTTTTAGGGACTTAAGCAACTGTGGAAGCTCTCCTTAGCAATAATTCAAGCAGAATGTACCATATTTATCACTTTCTAGATTAACTTTATAAAGGCAAGACTTCTTAGGTAGCTGTAGGACTTCATCTAAATAATCTCTGTAGATAGCCCATAAAGATGATAGGTCAAAGTAAGTTTGCTGTTGAATCACTATTACTATTAAATAAATACATTTGCTTCAGTTTAAACCTTCCTTTCAATGATACCTACCGTAGCTCTGAGAAAGTAATTGCCACTTCACATTATTCTGCTGTAGGACTTCCCCTTACCAATGATTCTTATCGCAGCTTCAAGTAATTGTCATTTTTAGGTTTACTTTTTAGAGGATTTTAGTCTACTATATAACCTCTACTTAGCGATATTTTAGAACGACACATATATCTTAAAGTAATAAGTTTCCTTAAGTGTCATGCTAATAGAATAATTTTTGGCGCATCTGTGAGAAGGATGAAAAACTGGGTATTAGTGGCTTTGTCATTGTCAAACACATACGCTTAAAATATAAAGCATAGTTTCAAAACACCTTAGTCAGCTATCAGATCTCTCTTTAAAGAAAATGTCAAACTTTATTGAATTTTCCAAAAAATGTTCACCCGTTTTTGTTTTATAGGGCACAACATGCATGGGTTAATGAGTGTTTTCGTACTAATGCGTCTAAATAGATTCTTAATATCCCTTACCCTGCTTGATACGATAATAGCTGGTTATATTGTTATGTATGTTTCTAAATAGTATTAAAGGGAATAGGGATTTTCAATTGAGTTAATGCTTACGCCTAAAAACATTCCCTATCTATTCCTAAGAAGTCTTGAGGAAGGGAAATGACAAGAAACCAGTAAATTATACTGTAGAGATATGATCAAATAGATATACGATATTTATTTAGTGTTGTCCAAAGAAATAATGTTTCTAAATAGTATTAAAAGGAATAGGGATTTTCAATTGAGTTAATGCTTACGCCTAAATACATTTTGTATATATTCCTAAGAAGTCTTGAGGAAGGGAAATGACAAGAAATCAGTATATTATACTGTAGAGATATGGTTAAATATGTATATGATATTTAGTTTGTGTTGTCCAAAGAAATAACCAAAACTTGAAACGTAGAATTTTGTACAAAAAAATAAAAAAAACTATTTACATGCATATATACATATGTATATAATAGACGCTTGAAGTACGTGATATTCACACAAATAAAAAAAATTATTATGATATTATAATCACGTACAAGCAACTATTTTCTTTCCGAACATTCATTTTTGAATTGCGTTATTTTTTAATAATATAAATAGAATACCAATACTTTCAATGTAAATTACATTAATTAAATCAAAATTTTTCATATTAAGATAATGAATCACAAATAGGGGAACTTGTTGCATTAAATTATGATTACGATTTACATGCAACAAAACGAACTGTTCTCAAACTGTACAACAATTTTCTGAACTGTTATAAGTGAGTTACTTAATCTTGGGTTCAGTTATCTGTTGGTAGACATTTCATATGAAAACAATATTTGCAAAAATATATGTAAACACATTACATTGATCTTATATGATATTCAAAACAAAAATGAAATATTTATAAGAATATTTTTTAAAGCAATAATTTTTATAACAAAATAATTTTATAACAAAAATAGATGTGAGTAAAAATTTCAGGTAATTTAAAACTTTTATATTGTACTTATATTTTTTTTGTTGCAATGACTTTCAAACTTTGTCAACTGTCAAAATTGCATAAAATATCCCAATCACGTGAATTATTCTTTATTCCTTTTCATAATTTTACGTATTATTCTTCACATCATATTTCGTCTATGTTGAATTTTTTTCAGTGCAAGTGTCTGTCTTTGCTGTATCGCCATCGAATTGATTTAGGCAGTGAAAATTTTTTCAGATAATTTTCCTCCGCACAAACTCCATTAGTACGTAATTTAAAATAGACCAATTTTAAGTGAATAATCATAATTCAAATTTTGCTGTGTAATAAAATAAAAGTAAGTGTCGAATAGAATGTAAAATAAACGAATAAAATATATGACTTTTAAGTGTATAAGAAAAACGACTTGAAAAATAATGAAATGCCTATTTATTGGCTAAATGTGCATATAGTATATACTTAAATTACTATATATAATATAATTGTTATGATTTTAAAATCATGAAAGTGCCAGCAATTTCCAACAAAATAAGCAAGAATGAAAATCACCTGCTCCATTTGCTACGTGCAAAATAATAATTTTTGAAATATTTTAATGAAGTTTAGTGAATTTATCTTTAAATACAAATCTGTTAAAAGGAGTTTTACGATTTTATTTAGAAATAAGCTAACATTGTTGGTATACAAAAAAGCCTTGTTGAAAAATCTGGGAAAAAAAAAATGTTTTTATATTTTAACTCGTGAGCGAATGAAAAAATTATCGATCCAAAGCTGCTGTCATGTGACTGTCATCAAACAGCTGACAACGTCTTGCTCACCTTCTGGCGTTGCTGCTGTGGTGAATATCTCGTGCTGCTCCTCTGCGGCAGCTAATGTCAAATAAATTGTTTTGTGTTATTGGTTGCTGCAACAAATTTCACTATTCTAATATTAATAAAATAAAAAGTTCTAAAATCATTATAATAAAGTCTAATTTTAGTAAATGTATTGTTAAACATTTACAATAAGTAAATTGCATAAAAAATTAAAGAAGTATAACAGATATTTTTTGTTTTTTGAACACTATATGCAATTTCTTTAAGTACTAGAATAAAGTAATAAAGATATAACTATTTTAAAAATAACACCAATTCTGACAATATAGAATTAGAATAATACATTTCAATATTCTTATGCCATTTTAGTAGCATCTGATGTGTGGACTTTTAAGTTACTCCATTGCATGATTTTTTTGAGGAAGAAAATTTATTCTGAAGCGCAATGGGTTCCTTGGTAGTATCTAAATTTAAACATCTACTATTCTCCAAGTTTATACAAGTTGGTTGTAATTTCTTAAATTACTTTACATTTATAAAAAAAAAAGTGGTGCATTTCTGATGCACATGCCACCAATATCCACCTAAACTATTGTTATTGTCAGATATCATTTTAATTGAATATTTTCCTCTAGATGCATCAGTTGTCCTTTAAAATGTTGACTTAGTCATAATTACCATTTGAGCTAAATTCCTTAAAACCTTTCCCAAGAAATTTAATACAGTTGTTGATATTCCTAATCACGTGACAGGTACCTGATTCTGACCTGCCTCATCAATTTTTTTTCGAATATTCTATAAAATAAAATTATTTCACATTTAAATTATAGAAAAAAAATATATTAACTGTGGAAACAGAAATGTACTTCAAGTTTAAGGCTTGCGTGACTTTCATACTAGATGGATTATAGTTACCCCCTCTATTGAAAAATAGGCGCACCTTTCAAGGAAATCAACCAAACCTTGAAATAAGACAAATAAAGCTTGAAGTAATTAGTGGTTTATTGGAAATTTATAACAATTTTATAAAAACCACATAACGTGCTCAAATAAGGTTATTTAAATATTTGTTTAACCGATTTTATAAACCAAAAAAAATGAGTACTTACAACTGAATCTGATAAATAAACTGAAGAGGATATTCACCTTTGGTGTAGTATTTGTATGAGAAAAAATAGACACTATAGTTTAATAAAAATATAACATTTTGTACATAATAAAATATTATTAACAGTTTGAAATATCAAAATTAAATTATATAAATTTTTGAAAAGCAATCGTAAAAGTCAATACATACAGGTATATAAGCGAGGAATGATCTTAGCAAATATATAATCTATACTTGACAGTGTAGGTAAACACTACAAATGTCTTAAGTACTGTATAAACTCTATAACCGTTGTTAGTTTTAAATGAAGACTGTGGACAAAGTCCTTTTAAAATGAACAAATCTGCAGAAGTCAAAAAAAGGGTTTCGGTTGAGCCGGTAGTAAATGTTTTTTAATCGAGACGTACGGTTAAGGAACAACTATAAAAGGATACTTGAAAACCACTAAAGTTTATATAAATTAAGCTATAATTGTATTATTTTGTTTTTGCTATATTCGTAAGTTTTTTTTCTAGTTTTGTTTGGCTAGTTTTGTTTCTGTTGAAAGAAATGAGCGGCACTAATTTATCAGAAACTAATTCTTTCTTTTAAAATGCTTAAGCATTAAATACATTTAGACACATTTTTAGTCATCTCTCTTCAAACCATATACAATGCATTGTAGTATAATTCGACCTAGAAAGCATTCTGTTCCAAATTGGGCAAAAGGATGATTGAGAGCAGTACATATTGGAGATAGATGAATGTGACTATATCCATATCCCAATTGGATCAGGACTGTTTTTGTTATATATGTTGTATATTTAGAACATATATTTTATGTATTTAGTTGTGATACAAATGTAGTCTCAAAAAGTATACTGTCTTCTTAAGAAGGTTATAACGCTATTTATATTACTTATCATAATTACCTCTCTATTCTGGATGTTGTTGTTTTAACCCATAACATGCTGCTAAGTTTGGTTTCCTTGCAAACAGGTTAAGAAAACAGAAAATATGGTCAAATCTAGAATGTAGCATAGCGTATATAAGAATAGAAAATAATTCTCTATTCCTAAAAACATTTACTTACACGTATTATAGTTTATTAAGCTGTGTAGACATTTCCCCTTCAGGTCATAATAAGACGTAATGGAACCCGTGGAATGTTTTTGTAGAAGTATGGTTTGAACAGTGCTTTACTTTGTCTGAGTCCAGGGAAATTTTCCCAGTACACCTGACGCAAACCATTCTCCCTCTCCTTGATTATTGGTTTTATACTGTTCCAGTTCAACCCACAAAAGCGTTGAGGGTCTGTAACAGCAGTTTTTGATATGGTTCTGGCTAAGTCAATAGCTTGCTGATTTCCCAAGACCGTCTGGTGACCCAGAACCTAATAAAGACTTACCTTATTTCGAGCTAAAAATACCTATAGAAGCTCGTAACACTTGAGGATCAAAGTGAGCTAGGCTAGAGGGTTAAAAATGTGCTGTGTAGATTGGATATAAAATTTCAACCATGACTACATTTAAACTATTAGTTTCTCTCTTTGTCTACTGTGGTTATGTAAGTAAGTGAAAAATTATCTTTGTAATAATATTTACATAAAGTCTTCAAGGAATATCATTAAGTGCTTAACAGGTTTAAGTTTTATTTTTATTTTTTCGAACTATTGTTACAATATCTGTACTTCCTGCGTTCGTTTTAGTTAATATATGAGTGCTTGTGTAACATTTGAAGGGGTGTAAAGGGTGTTCAAGCTTCAACATACTCTCTTGTTTTTAACTTTATATCCTTTTAATATTTTTTTTTTAAATAATCTTACTAAAATAATTAAAAACATTCAATGACTAGGCAGTGTGTATCTTTGATGAAAGCAACAAGTAATTGTAAACAATTTTATTTTCAGATCCTTTTTGTTAATTGTAAAGACAGTAATTAATTTATATTTCTTACTTTTCATCCCTTTTTATTAAAGGATTAACAAAATCCAATAAAACAATTATTTTAGGCTTCGTCATTAAATTTGTCATGGAGATCCTTTCTACTGTGTGAATTTGAACACAAAGTCAAAACATGTAGTACATATGGTATATCTATCTATCTATTCTACGATAAAATAAAATAATAGAAAACTGAAACTGAAAATGAAAATGAAAATTAATCATAATATGAGCATATCGTGCTCAAAGGACCTTGGGTTTATTTATTTATAAACAAAACAGAACAAAAACGCTTTGCAACGTGTTTTTATTTTTATTTGTCAAGCGCCACTGAACGAACGAACTAAAAATATACAATAAAAGTCTAAAGTCTAAGCCCTAAGTCCCAAGTCCACTAAATGCTTAAGTTGGAGTAGTAATTGCTCTAACCAGCGTTGCCATACACAATTTATATAATTGTATTAAAATAATTATTAATTAATTAAGACTCACACCCGTTGTGTGCCTGGCACCGCCATAATCGCCCGTCGCTTTTGTTTGTGTGCTGCACTAAAATATGCGAGACCATTTTGCACATCGTTGTGTATGTGTGTGTGTATGTGTGTTTGTGTATGTGTACTTGCTCCACTGCAGTACTACTACAATCAACTTTATTCTATGCGGCGACACCAGGTCTTATCAATTTTTTTTATTTCTTGTGTTTTCGTTTTATTTGCTTTGATTTCTTTTGTTTTTGTTTTTGCTTCTCTTACCATTGCCAAGCACTTCGTCCTTTATTGACGTTGGGCCATGTGCTGTTTTTCCAGGACAATTTGTTATATTTGTAGTGGAGCACATTTTAAATTTTGTTGTTCTATCGAGGGAAATTTTTTGAGCTAAAAATAGCTTCCATAAACAATGTCTTCAATACCAAGGTATCTGGTAAAACGCTTTAAATCTGCTTTAATATGGAGTTTTATGTTAGTAATAAATTAAACTTCAAGTTACAATAATCGAATCATTAAGAAAGGAAAATTTTAATCACTTTAAGTTTAACTCCTTAATTGGAGCTTAAACTAAAAAGTTTTTATATTTATTTAATGTCATTTATTTAGTCATTAAAGGGCAAATCCATCAAAGAAAAATGGATTCCTGTAGATACTTTTCATCTGTTAAATGAAATATTATATACTATATGTCGCATTGTGAATACGATTGTCCTGTTCTTAAGTTTTCTGTACTAATTTTACGACAGAACTGAAAATATCTTGTAGATACTCTTCATCTGTTAAATGAAATATTATATCATATGTTTTTATATCATGTATATATAAGGTAACTACCATATGTCGCATTTTGTATGCGATTGTCCCGTTCCTAAGTTTTCTGTCTAATTTTTGCGAAAGAACTGAAAAATGTCCTGTTTATAAAAATAGTTTTTAGTGCGTTTAAAAGAACCCAATAAGTAGACGGAAGTGACTCATAATCTGTATTTAAAATCTGTTATTGGGTAGCCGAGTCAATTCCATGCCGATTTTAACGGGACAGCTTTAAAATTTATGTGTTTTCCCATATCTCGGGGCTCTTTTTTTAAGTTATGTATCATTTTTATTTTCTTAAAAAAAGTGTAGTAAGAAAACAAAAGTCTAAGGAGAGTGTTAAAAGGCAGAAAACAAAACACCCATTAGAAGTTATATCGTTTTTAATCAGTAGAAATCTGGTTACTTAAAAAATTTGTAATCCGTTATATACTGTAATCCTTTCACAACCAATTTTTTTATTTTATCTAAAAGAAAATAGAATCCCATAACGTCTAATATAGAAAAACTTTGAAATTAATTCCCAATAACTCAGGAAAATTATTTCGATGTGCCGGAAATAGTTTGATCTGACATTTAAAAGAACATGTTATTATGTGAAGAATTCTGTTTAACTCTTCAATATATTTTACAACTATTCTAATATAATCAATCAATGCTTTTTGAGCATATCTATACCTTTTAAAAACGATTTGTTAAAATAAATTATAAAATATAAAATAATTGTCAGTTTCGGTGACTAGTTCTTATGCCATCTAAATATATTTTTCACATCATCTTTTAAAGATTTCGAAACTATTTAATTTGATTTAAATTGAAATGATTTTTGGTTTTAAATAAAAGCACATAAAAAAATAAAATTTTATTTACAAAAAAATGTATGTAATATAAAAATAAATAAATACTAATTTAAAATTATTTATATAATCTAATAAGGGATATGAATTTTAAGTATTTATCTTAAGATGAAACTTTTTTAGTGAATTCACTTTTAAAACAAGAAAAAGTTTAAAATTAAATCAAATTTCACTTGAATTGCACTTTATCTCTCTATATTAACAGTCAGTCCATTGAAGTGAGTTCGCTCTTTAGAATATAAAATCCTGGCTATTAAAACTTAACTCCTTATCGTTTGCTTTGCTTAACTATATTAAATTCTTTAATCTTTTCAAGAGACAAAAAAAAAAACAAAACGCCTAATAAACAACATAGCAACAATGAAAAATATCCTTCCAGGAAGAAAAAAAAAAAGATTGAGCCGTCATGTAGTCTGCTTGTCCTACAGAAACTTTAATTTCTTTCTATCCACCTTTGTGGGTGTCGCATGCTCGTTGCAGTAGTTGACCTCGTCAGTGCCAGAAGTTCGGAAATGATTTTAGTTGTGGTCGAGCAGTCAGACTTCGTGGACGTTTTTCCGCTGTGCTCTGAAATTGTGAAAAATTATTTTATTTTATTTAAAAATCAAAAAAAATGTTACTTATTTTTTTGATATAGTTAAAAAAAATCGGCTACATATTCTACGAAAATAAAAAAATGTTTACTAATATTGTGAAAATCAAATATTTTCCAAATGTTAGAAAATTTTATGTAACACAAATAGATTTCAGCAGTAAAGTATGTAAAAATCTACTTTGGTGAATAGATAATAAAAATCGTAAAATTATTAAATATGTGTTAATTAAATATATATATAAAAAATAGAAAAATAATAGAAATAGAAAAATAATTGAAATAGAAAAAGACAGGGTTCTGGGCATTCTGACCACAGATGAACTACAGATGCCAACTTCTTAACTTCAAAAAAATAATAATAATAAATAAAAAATAATCGATTAATTATTAAATATGTGTTAATTAAATATAGAATGTTTTTTTGAACTGTTTTTTTTTTAATACAAATAAAAAATAGAATCTCTTGTTTCTATAATAGAAAAATAATAAAAATAGAAATAGATAGGGTTCTGAATTCCTATTAATTAAGGGTATTCCGACCATTTTAGAACTACAGATGCCAACTTCAAAAGCTAATAAATAAAAATATATAAACAAATTTAATTTTTTTATTTTTGTGTATATTATTTTTATTTTTATTTAATTATTGCAATGTATTGCGAAAGGTACACCATATAAAAAATGTTTAAAAAATATTTCTGCAGAATATTCTAATAATTCGTTTTATAACCAGAATTTAATGAGAAATCTAAATCAGATATATTGTATATATATATATTGTTTTTTTTTTGTGGTGAGGAGCCAGAATGCTTTATGCATCGTCAGATCGACCGTCGTAAGAATGGTGTGCCCAACTCCCTAACATTAATTTGTTATATACGGACTAATAAGCATATATAATTTCAAGGAAAACATGACATTATATATTTTTTTTATATGTAAATGTATACTCTATATCATAAATATATATATTCCTACTATATTTAAGTCTCCTTTTTAATACAATTTAATTTTCTTTGTTGCATCTACTCATTAATTAAATTATTTTAATAATGAAAAGATACTAAAATATTCTGAATTTAATTAATCATTCAATATGATTTCACTGTAAAAAAGTTACTCTTGCTTTTTGATTCAAATTACTTGCATGCAAATTATATGTTCAATAGAAAATAAATTAGCAATTTCCGTGTAATGTTTGGTTTCATGGTCAGCTGGCCTAGGTCCCCACAACTCAATTATGGTTGGCACGAGTGGATCTGACCAAAATGTTGCTGCATCGTTGCATTTTTCATAACGTTTACCACGAACCACTTTATTTCGCTTGAACTTATTGCAATCAATTTTTAATTTGAAATTGTCATGAGTAGTATGAGTTCCGTAATCCGAGCGAAACCCCATTTGGTTTATAAGTAGAAAACTATCATTAATAAGGCACGTATGATATGACATGTACGATGTCCTTTGACTTTGACTTTCAAACTGAATTTGCTACCTGTATGTAATCTTATTAATGACTTTACACTTGAATTTGTTATTTAATGCATTGTAGACAACTCGTACGTTTGTAGTTACATATCAGGAAATTGACAGGATATATAGGGACATAGCAGAATACAATATGAACTCTACTTTTAATAGTTTTTCAAACACTGTTTTCCATCACTATTTATTTATATTACAAACAGTGTTTACTTTGTTAATAAAAAATAAAACTTATTTTGCAGTTAAGGTGGTAAAACAGATAGTTAATCAATAACGTATGAATACAGCTTATTATAGAACTTTTTAAATCATTTTTGGTTTTTTATTATTTCACATAAAATTGTCTCTTTGATTAGTTATTTTTTATTATGTAGAAGCTGTTTAAGCCAGTGCACTTAAGCACTTTTAACATACTCTTTCTTAACTCGAGGTATTTTCAAAACCCCTCTTTACGCCTTGACTAGATTATTGTTCATCACTTCATCAGACTAAGCAATAATTGACCTCAGATCTGCATACCTCCCCGAGGAGCCTGTAACCATTCTGAGATTTGATAACGCGGTGTTGGTAAGTTGGTAAATCTGTCAGTTTTCGCAAGTAATTTCAGGGCATTTAATAGTTCATTTCAAAGCCTCTTAATAATGTTAATTTTTTCTTGGCGATAGTGGCGTGTCTTTATGACTAAAGAAACTAAAGGACAAGGACAAAAATTTATTGCAATTTGACTAACCATACAACGCTGTTTCAAGTATTGCCAAGTACTCATCATCAGTGGTCTTAGGAAATAATCGAATTTTTTTAATAGTTTATAGTCCGTATATAATTTGTTTGGACTGCAGGTGCCAGGCTTAGAACAAAATATAAAGTTTATAAAATTAATGAAATACAAATTTCTTTTAATATCTACATGCTTTTCTATAATTCTTATATTTATTATTTATTTTTATATTTTTTATCTTCAATATAGAATTCGATAAGATGTCCGAGTACTGGCTCATCTCTGCACCTGGCGATAAGACCTGCCAGCAAACATTCGATACCATGAATAGTTTAACTAATAAACAAAATAATTTGTGCAATAACTTCAAATTTCATATACCCGATCTTAAGGTAATAAGATAATATAATGTTTCAATATTTATATATATAGTATATTATTAATTATGGAATTATTAAGAGAATAAAAAGTGATATTTAGCCTTTAGCCTTTAAGGAAAGAATAGAGCATTTAATTTACAAACTAAAAAAGAAATTTTTTATTTATTTATTTAAATATTTTTTCAATATCATTTATTTATTTATTAATTGTACAGTTTACCAAATTTTTAATTATTTATTATTTAATTTCATTTATTAATTGTATTTATGGTACGAGTATATAAAATAAATTAATAAAATTTTATTATTTTACAGGTTGGTACCTTAGATCAACTTGTCGGTTTATCCGATGATTTGGGTAAGTTGGATAGTTACGTTGAACAAATTACGCGTAAAGTAGCTGCCTACTTGGGAGAAGTGCTGGAGGATCAACGCGATAAATTGCATGAGAATTTACTCGCCAATAACAGTGAGTCAAGCATTTAACATTTTGCAATTCTTGCATTATTGCAAATTTATTTTAATTAAAAGTTTCTTGATTATTTAACTGAATAATAACCTTTTAGCGTATTTTAAAAAAAATATTGCAATTATAAAACAACCTAATAAAAACTAGAATTAGTTCCTAATTTACACATAGTAAAAACTAAATTTAGCATTTGAGTATTTGAATAAATTACTGAGTGATTGTAGTTAAAAGTTAAATTATTTAATTAAAGACTGTCACTTACCATAAGTGGTACAGATTACTCTTTAGCGGAATGTATCTAACTAACAATCATAACAGAAACAAATCAATCGTTTAACAACTTAAATTTTTTAATGTACTAACATTTAATAAATTAATTTTAATATATTATTTTTCATTATTAGAGTATCTAATTAAGATTTAAAAACTAATCAATTTTCAGCTGAAAACATAATTAGTTTACTTCTCTATAATTTCTTTATTGATTTTAATATCTAGTTTATTTTTTATTTATATTTATTTTTTTTTTTTTGTAATTTTTGTTATTTATTTTTCATTTATTTTATGTAAAATTTTTAAGTTTCACAATTATTTTTAATTAAATTTTTATTTCAATTCATGAGCACATTCATTACATCAATGCCAATTGTATTCATTTCGATTGGTCTGAAGATGAGCTTTTTATTATATAAAAAAAATAATTGTGGTGTTTATTTATGTTGTATATTTTTGTATTATTATAAATAAATTACAAAATACACAAACACATAGTATACATAATATACATAATACAATACTAGCTTTATCAATGTGCATAGTAGCGGATGTAGTGTGATTTTTTGTCAATTTTGGGTTTCATTAAAATGGCGAGACTTTCTTAGAGTTTATGGAAAAAAATTAGATTAACATATATTAGTTTTATTAATAATAGAAAGATATTATGTATTCAGTGTGCTCCTCTGTTAACTTAAATTTAATTTTGTACTGTATTTATAGAATTGTACAATTGTAAGATTTCAAATAATAACAATAATTATGACATTATAAAATATAATATAATGTAATATAATATAATATAATATAATATAATATAATATAATATAATATAATATAATATAATAATAATATATAATATAATATATAATATTATAATAATATATAATATAATATATAATATTATAATAATATATAATATAATATATAATATTATAATAATATATAATATAATATATAATATTATAATAATATATAATATAATATATAATATTATAATAATATATAATATAATATATAATATTATAATAATATATAATATAATATATAATATTATAATAATATATAATATAATATATAATATTATAATAATATATAATATATATATAATATAATATAATATAATATAATATAATATAATATAATATAATATAATATAATATAATATAATATAATATATAATAGAAATATAATAATAAATATAATATAATATAATGTAATAATGTATTATGATGTAATGTATTAAAAGTAATTATATTATATATTAAATGAAGCAATACTATGCTCAGACACACCTTAATTGCGCAAAATCTTAATTTCATCTTCGTTTCGGCAAAATTAGGTTGTTTTTCCATGCAAAATTCAGTTTTGAGATTTGAACGAAATTAAGGAAAATAGCCTTAATTTCATTGAAACGAAGGCTGAAATTGAGGGACATTTAAAATGCAACTATGCGTAAAATAACTTTTACGAAAAAGATTAAGTTAAGATAACGAAAAGTGGCACTTTTTTAAGTAAATGTCAGTGACAGTTGAGTTTAATAAAACCGAGAAAATATTTTGAAAATTGAATTTTTAAATTGGAATTAGAGAAAAAATTGTAACTTTAAAATATAGTGAAAAATAATAATTCGCATACCTAAAATCCATTAAAACTAATAATATTACTGTATGCCATCCTTAATAGTCGGTTGGTGTTTGGAGTATGTAATTTTTAACATTCGATTTGTAAACAAAAAACATATGATTTCCTTAATTTAGGGCAGTATGAACACTTTCGAAATTAACTTAATTTAATATTTACGAAATTAAGGAAATTTGGCTCTCTGAACATAGTGTAACAGACTATATATTTAGTATATATATTATATTAAATTTTTTGTTTAACTAGCAGAAATTAGTAACCAATATATCTTTAGACATAAAAGTAAAACATAACTATCGTTTGATTGGGAATTGAGTTAATTATTTTATGATTTGAATTGTGTGTAAAAATAATAAGTTCTTTGAAAGCAATAATCTGTAAACTTTTTGAAAAAGTAATCTCTTCCAGAAAAGTGTGTTAACCTTAATGTTGTTAAATCTTCTATACTCTATATTCTGAAAGAAATTCAAATCTTGTTTTAAATAATAATATTTAATATTACTAAAAATAATCATAACTTTTGCAAGCGTAACATCTATTATATGCGAGGTATTATATACTCCCTACTGCTACACAATACTCTGCACATTATACTTGACAAACCTACTCTTCTTTCTTATATATAAAATATATTGTTATAATTGTAATTTATTTGTCGACGTATTTCTTTTTATTGGTTTTTCTTGGTTTTAAATAAATCTTTTGTTGTGGTTTTCTGCTGCTAGAAAACTAATTAGTTTTTAAATCCTTGAATCATTGGCTCCGATGTGTTGTGTATATGCCATTATAGCAAAATCGACGACACATTTTGCAAAAGCAAAAATTAATTGAATTTAACGTTTTTATAAAGCCTTCTTTTGAATTTTGAAATATACTTTAATCTCATAATACTTTTTCTCATACCTTATATATGATTAAATAAATATTTATATAAAGTGTTGTGTATATTGTATATGTTGATATATCTACTGGCTGCCTTTGTTTACTTTTAGTTGATGTAGTTTTTAATAATTTTGCAATCATAAGCTGTTTTTCAATTTATTTGCCTTATATATAGTTTAATTTACTCTTTAAATATTTTCAATAAATGCAGTAAAATTTTTTGCTTTGTAAATGCATAAGTAAATGCTTGAAAATCCTGCAATAAAATATTGAAAAATCTCTTATTGAAATATTATTATTATAAAATTTTTTTACTATACTGAATCTTTTTTTATGACAATTTATATTTAATTGTTTCATTGCATCGAGTTACGAATGCAAATATGAATTCCGGAAAAATGATAATTTTTTTATTCAAGCTAAAATTCATTTTATTTTTTGATATACAAGTAATTAAATATTTTAACAATAAAGAAAATAAGAAATATTTATTTCAACAATTTAAACCTTATACTCTTCGATTTACTGCATTTATACTTCCATTTTTTTTTATACATGGACAGTTAAATTCTATTCTAGCTTCTTATAAATTTTTAATTTAGTTTATTTCTGCAGTGCATCTGTTTCTAAGTAGAATAATTTTTCCATTAACTTATTTAAAGTTTAATTCTTATATTTATTTTTGTATATTTTTCTTTTTTAATATTTTATATTATATTATATTATATTTTAGTTATATTTCTTTTAATTATTTTATTTAATTAATATACAATTATATATATATATATTTTAATACATAATCCAAAAGATAAACAAACTAAAATATGAAACACTCACAATTTCAAATTTATTATTATTACAAGTATATATATATTAAAGTACTATATATAATTATATTTTTATGGACATTTAATAAAATTGGTAAAATCCCTACATACACACAATATATTCCTTTCGCTGTGGAATTCACCATATAGTTCCAGACCCTCCTGATGAAAATATAAATTCCCATGCTGAATTGACTGGCAAAGCATCGAATTTATCAAATAGTCGTGATACAACTACAACAACCTGTTCAACATGTCACTCAGGAGCGAGTCTAATTAACTTTTCCTCCAATGATGAGTCCGATCGTGAATTTGATCTATTATCTTCACCTGCATGCTGCATTTGTGATGATTGTGCGCCTGGTACGAGTACAAGTGCGAGTGCCAGTGCCAGTGCCAGTGCAACAGCAACAACACTTCTTGTTGATGAATGTTATTCCCATACTTCCTCCGCATTAAATGCACCCTGCACTTTATCTGTCGATGTTGTGCCCCATGTAGCAGCTGATAACAGTAACTCCTATTGTTCAACGTCTGCACCCTCAACTGGTATTATAAATGCGCTTCGTTCTAGTTGCAAAATAAACTTAAAGTCCAACTCCAATAATAATAACACATGTAACATTAACAATAATAGACTGGGTTTAAACACAAATAGTAACGTGAGTCATGTTCACTATTCCAATGAGGATAGTGGTGCCAGTGCGAGTAGTAGTCAACTAAAAAGCAGCAACAGTACATCAGATATTAGTGATACGTTCGATTGGTGGTTTCATAAGCCTAAACGAAATTCCAAGAAAAGCAGGTACCTATAGTATGAAAACACAAAATATATGGTCACATAAAACACATTTACACACACATACACACAACAGTTTATATTCGAGTTATAAACATACAAAAAGAAATTTGATTGAAACGATTATTATATTGGAAATTTGAAAATAACATATATTGATGAGATACATTTAAATAAATATAAATAAAAAATAATCACAATAAAAAAAATATCAACTAAAGCAAATATAAAAATAATATTTTAAAAAATTCATCAACTTTAATTAAACTATAAACTCAATAAAAAAAGTATTAATTTTCCTAGTAGTCAATTTGGCAAACACTTTAAAATGCAAAAACTGGCTTGGATTGATTTTTTGCCAAGATTAATTTTTATCGGAGATAAAACTGCCAGTACAACACCTCTATTATTATATTTATTATATAAAATCTGTAATTTTGAAAATTAGCAATAAGAAAAGTTTGTGAGAATATGATTAGTGATGTGGGTTTCTGAGTACTTGGGCTAGGGCATTCTAGTGACTACCAAAATGGTTTAAAATCACTTTATATACAAATTTTATTAAATTATTAATTTTAATAATTATTCAACCAAGCAAATAATTTTCAAAAACCAAATTCTCCAATAATGACGTTTCTCCTTCTCCAGCAATAATTTATTGTTGCATACTTTTTAAGGCAATATTGTACTGTAAAATTTGATACTAAATTAATTGCAAAATTAATTTTTTGGGCGCCAAAAAATTAAAATTTTACGTTTCAAGTTTTTTTTTTTTGTTTTTTTAAAAGAATAATACAATAAAAAGACGATTTTTATATTTACTTTACAATTTTGAAAATATGAGTCAATAAAATTAAATTTTTAGTCTACTATTAGTAATGTTAGCAACTGTATAATTCAACTTTTATTTTGCTAAAGATATTTTCCCATTTAGAATTGTAAATATAGATAATGACATGGTTATGATATATAATATAGTAAAATTAATAGAATAGTGCAATAACGATATCAAGTGTATTTATATCTTTAAAATCTCTGCATTTTTTATTGTGTGTAATATTGTAAAATGTATGCAACATTCCAAAATCAATTCCAGTCATTTGCATATATAGTTAATCCAAAGAGTTCGTTTCAATCCCTTCAGATCAGATATATCTACACTAATTACCAAGCAGAACTTTGTAAAGTTAAACAAAATTTATTACTGATTATTACTATTTAACAACTTTCACTAATCCTTTTCCACATAATATATATGAAATGCTGACTGTTTAATGTTATAGTTCGGGACTAAAACCGATACATACAATTTGAGATATACAATTTACATTTTTCTGCTTGGTGTATATTAATTATTATACACAAACATATATGTAAAATTGTTTGATTCTAATAAATAATCATATAATTTGTAAATTTTATTATTTGATTTTTCTGCATACTCTTCCTCATAAAATACCTTTTCCACAAATAAAAACTCCACTTATTTTTTACAATTTTGTATCTATTTATTGGCACAAAATAAAACAATAAATTCAATTCATTAAAAATTTTGAAATTTCGACACTTTTTGTTAATTTTTTGTTTTGCAATGCACCCATGGTTCTCATCCTTTCGAACCATTATTTTGTTCGCTCTTTTTTTCTCTGCCTCTGTCTCTCTCTCTCTCTCTCTCTTTCTATCTCCTTAAAATTCATTTTTATAGCAATCGCTCATCATTCCGTCAATTAAATAAAAACAATGGATTAAATTTCACTACAACTCATAGATCGTCTCCAGTAAGTAGTTGTTGTGGCAATAGTAGTCAAGGACGTTCCAGTCCGGATACAGATATGGGTGAACCGCCAACGTTTCCATTGAGTCCAGGTTAGCACATAGTGGTGTTAACGTTGTAATACAAACATTTTTTTCTTTTTTTATATACTATACAATGTCGTCTCTCCTTATTCCCTAACATCCTTTTAACATTCGTCAATTCGTCAAACATCCTTTCCAATTCATATAATTCCTTAAATAAAAAAACTTAAAGAATAAACTTATAATTGTACAAAACATCCCTACCACCCTACCACAAGTTCTCCTTTAAATGTATTTGTTTCTTTTAAATGTTATATATGTATATTCATATATATACATAAGTTTGTACATTTTTATAAATATAAATATACATATACATTTTTGTAAAGTTATATTATTTCTTTTTATTTTTAGTTTACATATACAACATTTTTAAGGATATTTCTTTTAAAGCCACAATATTTTCGAAAATGTTCGACATACACAACACTTTCCTCAACAATTATTTAAAAAAGATTTTTATTTTTCAATTTTAATTATATTGCACTCTTTTTAAATTAATTTATTATCTAAATAAAATAAATAATTTTATTTCATGGTTATATTTTTTATTTAATTATGATATATATATTTTGAAAGTATTTCTTCAAAAAATTATTTTTTCTTTACAGCATTTTTTAGTTTTTCTTTTTATTATTTTATTTAATAATAAATTATAAAAAATAAACAAATATTTTTTAATAAAGTTTTTTATGTAGAAATAGGTTTATTTTTTTATTTAATAATTTATTTTCCTCAATTTGAATATTATTTTATTAATAATGTATTGTTTTATTTTATTTATAAATCACCTTTATATCTATAAAAAGTTTTGCTTCATATGATATATTTATAATTTGAAAATCACTTATATATTTGTATAAGATATAAGTAATAATATAATTAATAATTATGCATTTGAAGAAATTTTGCTGTCGTATTGTTTGCTATGCTTTTAAATGCTTTAAATTTTGTCGTTTAATTTTTTTAATGCTAATTTCATTTATAATTAATTTATATACATTTATTATATTAAATATTAAAGTATAAATATATTTTACTATAATATATTTATTTTATAAATAACATATTAGCTGTTCATCAACATTATTATATATTGAACTTTTAGTTGAAGTCTATTAGTTCCCCTTTGAATTTTACCTTTCTATATAAGGCGTTTTCTTTTGTAAGTATGTCACAAAAGAACAAATAAAATAAGCTCTACTTTCGTTGCCAACTCTGGATAAAAGGGAGATTTTCTTCGGCTTATATTTGCAGTAAATGTGTAATAAAATTTAAAGTTAAAATTTCATAAATGAATAACAATTCTTTGCAATTATTGATGACAATATTTTTTTTTACATGATTATAAATAAAATATAATTCTTGGTAGCTTTTAACAGTGAAATAATACATAAAACAAATAACATATTTGTTACATAGACGAATTTTTTTGCCAACCATGTGATTTGAGCTGCTTATTAGTTAAGCGATTTCAAAAAGTTTGGACTAAATAAGCCAGCATTGTTGTTGTCTCATATATTATTTTTAAAATAAGCAGTTGTTCTTTTGTGACATGTTTACAAAAGAAAACGCCTACATTCAAAATAGAACGTCAACTCTTCGTCAACGCCGTCAATTAAATTTTCCATCATAGTTCAATATCAATTTTTTTATCAAAGCTGGCAGACATGTTTTTGGCGTGGTTAGTTGGCAGTCAATTGTTTTATTCAAAGTTCAGAGTCATTTTTTTTTGTTGAGTGGACAGTCATTTTTTAAAAAATTTACAGTCATATTTAATTTTTTTTTGTGAATGTTAGCAACGTTAACAATAAACTCAAATTTTGTAGTCAACAGTTTTACCAAATGTGACAGTCAAGCTTTCAATATAGAACATTTTCGAGTAGTTCGAAGGTCTTGCAGTAGCTCTGTGAAGTAATCCAGCATTAAATATATATAATGATATATATAAGATATATAATGGTATAAAATTAGCATGCTAATGGAATGAATTTAACTTAATTCCTAACTAATTCACATATAATAGACAAAGTTCTTGGCTTGACTATATTGTTTGTTTTCCTATATTTAAAAATAAAAAAATAATTAATTAACTAAACTTAGTTAATCAACTAGATTTTGCAATATAGTAGTTGCCTGAAAAAAATATATTCCAGTCAGCTTTTTACCTCTTCTATATAAAACAATCAAAATACTTACAAAATATTTATTAATTATGTATTTCTGTTTCTTTTTCCAGTATTTTTATTAAATTATTTATTCAATTATTTAATTATTAAATTATTTATTTAACTTTATTATTATTATTTTTATTACTAAAGCTCGTACAAAAATATAGTAATAAATATAATTGAATATTAAATATTATTTATATATAGGCAAATTGTGAGAATAATGCTTTTATCTGTTAATATATCAACGCGTTAATAAGTTCTCAAGGTCCTACTTTAAAATCGAATATATAAATAATAAGGGTCTAGCCACAGTAGTCATCAGTAGTCATTTTATACACAATTATATATAAACAATATTATATGTATTTCCAACTCACAGCTCACACTGATCGAAGGGCTTGATTAACAATATATTATTATATAATACAATATCATATAATATAATATAATGTAATATATTGTAATATATAATATATATTAAAATAAATTTATTTTTTATAATCTATTTAGTATATTATTTAATATTATTATATTTAACAATAATATCAACATATTTAGCTCAAGAAATTATTATCAAATTTTTTAAAATTTTAATTGCGGTTATTTTTTTATAATTTAAGAATCATATATGTTAGATATATAATATATTTATATTTTATTATTTTTATCTCATATGCAAACATCACATAATATAAATAGAATTTAATTAAAATTTTTATTTTATTTTTAAGCGTTTTTTTTTTATTTTTATAAAAGTTAAACCTAATGCTATATTATTTGCTTTTTAAGTAATATGTGTGCTTTAATTGTTGTAAATAAAATATATATTAAAATATTTCAAAATTCAAAATATATAAAAAAATATAAAAAAATTTATGCAATTTAAGAAATGTTAACTTTTTGTGTGAACGAATAATTGTTAAAAAGTTGGATCCACTTAAGAATTTAAAAATTGTTCAAATTTCAAGTATAATTTAAAAATTTTTAAATATTTAGATAATATATACAAAATAAGCAAAACCGACATATATTCTTAAATGGTTCCACATGTATTTCTTAAACTTCTTGATTATCTATATATGTTATATACGTAAAAATATAACTAAACTCTCTAATATTCTCTTTTATAAATGAATCTTAAGAGTTACTCGTTTTATTTATATTACTAACAAACACGTTTAATTTTCTTTTAAAAATTGTTTAGCCGATTTATCGGTGTATATAACCCGCTTCCAATGGGATATGGCCAAATATCCAATCAAACAATCACTGCGCAACATAGCTGATATAATTTCGAAACAAATCGGACAAATCGATGCCGATTTGAAAACGAAGTCGGGCGCCTATAACAATCTAAAGGGCAGTCTACAAAACCTAGAAAAGAAACAAACGTAAGTTATAAGCACTTTCCAGTATATCTAATCTAAAGAAATCTAATTTATTTATTTCTCCATTCTGCAGCGGCAGTTTGTTAACACGTAATCTAGCGGATTTGGTGAAAAAGGAACATTTCGTCCTTGATTCGGAATACTTGTCAACGTTGCTAGTGATTGTGCCAAAGTAAAAAATTGATAAGATCATTCCAGAATATTAATATGAATATTTATTTTTTTTATATTTTTATAGAATTATGGCTAATGAGTGGTTGTCTAATTATGAAAAAATTACTGATATGATTGTGCCTCGTTCCTCGTCGATGATCACCCAAGATAACGACTATTGTCTTTTTAATGTAACCCTCTTCAAGAAGGTTGTAGAGGAGTTCAAGTTACATGCGCGTGAAAAGAAATTCATTGTACGGGACTTCGTCTACAATGAAGAAGAGTTGGCAGCTGGCAAAAATGAAATGACCAAATTGATAACTGATAAGAAGAAGCAATTTGTAAGTTATAATGAATTGTTTTTAAATATGTCAAAAATCGATTATTGTTTGAATATTTAACAGGGTCCACTTGTAAGATGGTTAAAAGTGAACTTCAGCGAAGCTTTCTGCGCATTGGTGCACGTTAAAGCGTTGCGTGTCTTTGTCGAATCTGTTTTGAGGTAAAGTATATAAAGCGGGACCTTTTTTTGTACTCTTGTATTCCATTCTTGTATGGTCCATTTTTGGACCACCAGTAATTCTTTTTTTTCTTTTGGTAAGAATCGTTACTTTATTGTAGACATTCCAGGGTCTTATTTTCGAAAAAATAAGCCATGTACTTTCCGATTATTAAGATCGGATGTTTGGTATCAAAACGGTACTTCTGTCTAAGTAGTCTATAATATTCGCTAGTTCTGTTGCCAGAAACACCACCAACTAAATAAATAAATTGATGAAATGATAATACTAAACTAGTTGTTGTAATTTTTTTTACAAAGAAAAGGGTTTAAATATATAACATTCCTATTCTACAATTGTTTTTTTTTTCGATTTGTTTTGAATAAATATAATTTAACTTTTAAAACTACAAAACCTGTTCAAATTATTAATGCTATGTATTCTTACAGATACGGCCTACCTGTCAATTTTCAAGCTATTCTCATTGAGCCAAATAAGAAGAGTGTGAAACGTTTACGAGATGTTCTAAACCAATTATATGGTCATTTAGATGGTGCTTCAGCTGGTGGTCAAGTCGGCAATGCTGATGTAAATAAATGCTTTTATTATCAAAAAATTGTTACTATACTATTTATCATTTTAGAATGTCGATATACCTGGATTGGGATTCGGGCAGTCAGATTATTATCCTTATGTATTCTATAAACTCAACATTGATATGGTGGAAACATCAAAAATCTAAATCGTTTAATTATTAAACCACAGCAGTGTTAATCGAAAGAAAAGCTTAAACAGTTTTGAGTAAATAAACAATTGCCATGGTCCCGTTGCAATAAAATGACTATGGTTTCCTTAATTCAGTACAACTTGTATTTGCATTCATCGAGAATTAACTAATCTAATCTTAACTAAAAATCTAATGTTATTTCCAAATTCATATAAATATGTAATAATCCTAGGCTTAATTATTTCACGTACAATAATTGGCAATATTTTACAGTTTACAGTTGAAATATATTTTTATTGTTATTTCGTTTTTTAAATGATGTTTTAAGTTCAGCATTAATAACTTAACTTAACATTTTCTACAATCTTAAATATTCAAATAATTAATTATTATTTAATTATTATTATTATTTAAATTGAAAAATTGTTCCGTTACTCATAAAATTGTTTGCTTGCAGTTGAAGTTGTTAACAGTATTTTTATTCTTGGTTATATAAAATGTTTTTTTTTTCCTTCTATTTCTGTATTTTAAATGTCTTCATATATATTAAATATCCACTCTAACTTGTTATTATTTAAGCATAATTAAAAATTAATTATAATATAACTTTTGATTTGTCCATTTTGTTGTTAACTTATGAAAGTTTTAATAGTCAAAATATTTCGTTCCACGGAGATAATAAGACCATATTAAATAAAATTGCTATGTGTGTGTGTATATATAAAAATAAAAGTAATAAGCCAATTTTAAAAGAATATTAAAATAGAACTTTCAGCTATTATACTTTCAGAAGTGCATACGTTAATGTTTATAAATAAACTGTTTATAAATTGTGTATATTATTGATGTGTTATTCATATAAAAGTATATATAAAATATAAATTATAAAAAATAGGGCCACAGTGTTATTTTCGGCCACTAATATGTAAAGTTTTGTTTTAAAAAATAAAATAAAATTAAATTAAATAAATAAATGTATTATTGTGTTTAAAATGCTTCAGTCTTTTAATGAAAACAAAGCACAAATATGCTTTTTTTAATAAAAGTGTTTTTAATAAATAACAAAATCTGTTGTAATTAAAATAACAAAAAAAATTATAAGATTATAAGCATTTCAAATACGATAAAATATTGAATTAAAGGTACAATAATATTTGTAAACATTTTAATTATATTAAAACTATATTGTTAAATCTAACTGTATTAAATATACACAAATTTCTGTAAATCAACTTTATATTTTGTATTTATAAGGAGTTCGCTATGCCATCCTTGTAAATAATAATACAAATGAAAGACATTCCAATTATGTTGTTTCCATTAGATTATATATGCATAGTTCAGAGATAGTGAAACTGTTAATAGAATTTTTGAGTTACTAAATTCCTGTCGTGTTCAGATCTGGGTATCAAAAAGTTGTGCTAAAAAGCAGAAATGAAAAGGTCTTTTTAGTGTAAAAATATAAAGAATTATTTTTGGCGCCCATAAACTTTAATAATTTACAATATATGCCTCTAAGGTGAGAACATAAAGAATGAAAAGCTACAATATACTATTACCCAATGGAAGGCTGATTACCAGAAGAAAAAGTGCTTGATATCAGCATCAACGAAAACCTGTACTGAACACAAAAAGATCGATAATAAAATCAATGCTAGTACACATCAAATATGGAACTATCGACACTGGCAGAAATCTTTTTCTAAATACTCACACATCTGATAAAAGCAGCCGCAAGTGTCAACTATAAATACGTGAATTCTCAATATATACTCCAACTGCAACCTCTAGTCATTGAGAATAAAAGCCGTCCACCTATTATGTCACCCAACTGTTCTCATGTTTTGCACACATCAATTTGAACAGTATTGAACTTTGGATCCGAAGTAGTATGTTGAAGTAGTATGTTTTAATCGCCTCGACCCATGCTAATTTCAATTAAATAAACCGATATATTTCTCATTCATTCATTATACAAAGCAAACATTTTTAATTCAACCCCCCACATAATCCATATTTGTACTTCCTTTCATATCTTCTACTATATAGTATAGATCTTCTTCAGGTACCACAACCACAAAGTTGTTTAAAGGATGAATATATTGTGAATTGTCGGTACTTACTAGTCGGAGATGAAAAGAAACGTTCTGTATGTCATCACTCTCACAAACAATAGGACCGCACAATAGATGGCGACAATAACAAGTATTTTTTATGTCGTCACTCTTTTAAACAATGGGATAACAGGCAGGAAGAAGCTGTTGTTGTGTTCTTATGGATATTTATAAAGCAGGAAACATGAAAGGAATGAAGATATGAATACGTGGATTAGGATGCAGTGAGGTGAAAGTATGGTGAGTAGAGGAGGGTTGTTAGAATGAATGAGGAAGTGATTAAATGTATAGGATCCTGTAGCCTGTTAGCTTTTACTTATTGAAGTTTATTATTAGTTCTACAAAAAAGTACAAAAATATAAAAAAATATTTTTGTTTGAGCCAGTAATTGCTTTCTTTCAAAAAATGCAAATTTAAAGAATTTCTTTGTGCAGTGCAAGTTACTGAACTATATTCCAGTAACCAGAGTGTCGAAATTAAAGGCTCCTTATGTTTGTATAAGGCCGTACGTGCTATACTAATAAGAAATGCCCATAGGTTTCATGTATATTAAAGGTTCACCACTGTTGCCATAAGTTCAACTTATTAATAAAAACAATTAACCAAAATTACAGACTCTTCAAAAAATTTAGGTTTTAATTGACATAATAGATAATCAATAGATGGATTGAAACACTTACAAATACTTTGAAATATCTGTTTACTTTTAAGATGAACATTAATTTTAATAATTTATAAACTCTTTATTTCAAATTTAACAATTATTTAGGTTTCAATATTTTAAAATTAATTATATTCTCTACTACATACAACTATATCAATGTAAAGAGATACCACATATAACTTTTATATAGATCTCAAACGCCAACCACAAAATCGAAAATGAAAGTTCAGGGGATAGCTTTTTAAAATTCAACTTACTAACACATATATTTATCTTTTATATAACATTAATTTTGAATAGAGAAGGGCTTTACGCTTTCACTCTCTCCTTACTATAATATATTTGATTTTTTTTTATTTATAGTATACGACTCATTGATGATACGTCATTAAAATTGCACGGATAAATATAAAAATTTTAGTGGACATAAATTTTATATGGCGTTGAACATCTATACATAAGCGAACTGTGGATATACCACGATGCCAGGTAGACTATGTGTACCCAAACAAGAAAAAAGATTTTTTACTTCTGCCACTACTTCCGGTACTGTATCTAGTTCTCATGTTCCTCTTCTTGTTGTAATAACTTCTTCTTACTCATACGCCGTTTACGTAAATTATCAAATAGGCGTACTGAGAAGAAGTAAGCCAGTTCAATAATACTTAATCCGGATATGCCCATAAAGAGACCAAAAATACCACCACAGTTCGCTATAAGAGTAGTGATGCTAAATATGACAGTACGTTTAATTGCAGTGAATTGATGCTCCTTAAAATAAACTGACAAACGTGAACCCATAAAACTATCGAGTAAATTTAGAATTCAATTACTGGTTTTCAATTTTATGAATAAGAAAACTTACTCTGAATGCTCATATACTTCTCGAAAAGCACGGATTGTTTTCTCTAGATTGTAATGAGATCGAGAGATTTCAAAATTATATTCCAGAGACGTACAGGCAGGCATACAGTCACACATAATCTTCACATTAGCATCCATAGTTTTTTGCATTGTTTGATTTTGTAAGATCAGATTTAATTCGTCTTGTGCTTTATTATAGCACATAATATCAGCGGCACCACAAACTGGCACATCTAAGGGTTCTAAAAATTAAATAAAATATTTTAATAATTCTAATTAGTTATTTAATCAATGATTTGTTGGTTATTTACTTGGCATCCAAAATTTCGCACATCCACATTTTGATATAGTAAAGTTTGCGAGGCACTCAGTTTGGCAATTACTTTGAGAATAGGCACGGAAGAAACGGAGGTAACGTTCATCGTTAAAGAAACATTGACGTCTTTTGTAGAAATGAAAAATATTATTTAAATATGAAGAAATCTATTTTATTATTCAAAATTAAACATAAAAAGTATTTAGTATAGAAGTATATAAAATATGTGAAATACTGGCAGGAAGTGAATTAGAGCACTACGATCATGACTGATCTAACACATCCTAACTGAATAGACAAGATTCGCCTTTCTAATAAAAGATAAAATATCAGTTGTTGAGAACATCTAAACATAACATGAAAATAGAATTTCCAGCCTAATAATCTTCTCCTGGCCCTGATCAAAGCCGAACTCTCACAGAAAATGTAACTGGAGGTCTCATCCGTTTTCATCCGAGACATTTCATCGACATTTTGTTTCAAACAGCTAAACAGATCCATTTTGTTTAAATAATAACACAGATCATGATTTTGCGTCAGATAACCTCCCCTACAGCCAGTTCTATTCTACTGAGAAGGAGTGCCTTACAATAGTTTTACAGACGTACCAGTTCCGTAGTTTGACGGTTACTTAGAGTTTCACAACAGCATTAAGTTCTTTCTGTTACAAAGGCCTATTTTATTAAAGACCTTTTTCTGATTTTTTTTGACCTTATTGATCTCATGAGAATATTTCCTACAATTTGTAAGCATTAATGCCTTTTTCTCAATTCAAGACATTGAAATGTAAAATCCAGTATATCACTATTATGATCTGGTATGATCGAAAATTCGTTTAGAAAAAGCTACAAAGATATATATAATATGAAAATATATATATTATATATTTAAAAAATATTAAATGAAATAGAAAGCAGGCGTACATGGATAAAGAAAAAAATTGTTATATTATTTATCAGAACTTAATCTAATATATATTCGTTTTACATACTAAAGGTTATATTAAAATTTTGTTTAATATTATTATTATTAATTTTTTTTATATAAAATTCCCTAATTTTAATTAAATGTTTATTAAATTTCTTTCTTTTGTTCGAAGGTAGAATTTAACTGACTATATTCAGTTATACTACATAATATAAAAAAGCTTAGGTATTTTAAGATTCTTAAATTATTTAATTTAATTAATTTTAATTTAATTTTACTCTTCACTATGTACGGTTTTAAATTTTATTATTCCAAATAATTATTTTACTTACTTTTCTGGACTGAAATCATGTAAATTTTCCGTTGAAACAACATATTGGGGCAGCACACTAACCATGACCTCATCTCCATGCGGCACTAAAATGTAGTTGCCCATAGTAAGTGGCACACTCTCGGGAGAATTAAGGAACACCTGAATTCAAATTATTTGTTTTAAAATAAAATTTATTATGTTATACTTAACACCTACGTATGCGCAGATACAAACCTTGTAGCCCTGCCTAAAACTACGGCATGCGTAATCAAAATTATGTTCATAGCCTTGAAGGAACGCAAAAAATGCATTACGAACAGAAGAGAAAGCAGTGCGTTGTGGATAAGAATTGTATCCCTGATCTATGTAACCATCATCTAGTGACCAATTTCCAGATATGTTATTGTATTTGGGCAATGGATCGAAGTAATTATTAAAATCAACTATTTCCGGGTCTCGATAACTTACAAATCTATTATTCATTTATATATTGAAATTTTAAATTGTTAAAATATTTAAGGGCAAGTACCTTTCATCGCGATATATATCCTTTGCTTGCAAGCCATTGAATTGATAGCAAATACCCTCATCCGTTGGTACAAAATTAAAAATTTTATCACAAAAATAGAATCTTCCATTCCATTTACAAAACGGGCCGGTTTCATTTTTTGTTATGGATAAATCAACCAGTGTTTGCGATACATCCGGTAAAATGTCTTTTGGCACAAATGGAGCAAAAGATTCGGCTACTTGGGTGTCGCAGATATGTAAAGTAGCAGCTAAATTCAAAATTCTATTGTTTAAGAAAAATTAAATTTAAAGATGTTTTATTATTAAATATATAGAACAATAACAATATTTAACAATAATTAAATGAAAGAAATATTTAATAAAATAATATTATGTTTTAACTTAGACTTATTAAACTTATTAATGCATTTTTGTATGAATTTTGTATAAAAAATAGGACATGTGGTAATGCACATTTGTCGAATTAAGCACAAAAGTCTAAACATACCATAAAAGAAATGCAAAAACTAAAAATAAATATAAAATAAAAATCTAAATACATTACGATATGTTAAACAAATGATATATTGTCTAATTATAAATCTGCAGCTGCGATAATATATAATAAGTAATGTTAATATCAATCACTATAGTTTCCACCCAGTCGCATCCATTCATTTCTATATTCCAATCTTGAATATAGGAATGTAGTATCCATCCATTTTTATATTCCACTTTTAAATACATAAACAACAGGAAACCCATTCTTGACTTCATTTACCGACAAATATGATACGATTATCCTGACTACAAATATTGAAGAATAAGAAATCCTTTCTAATTTTGACAATGTCCCATATAAAGAGGTAAAATTGAATTTCAAATACATAAATAACATTGGACCCATTCCAGAGTTCGTCTACCGACAAAGACGATGCGATTATCCCGACTACAAATATAGAAGAATAAGAATCCTTTCTAATTTTGACATTGTCCCATATAAAGAGGTAAAATTGAATCTCAAATACATAAACAATAGGAGAACTATTTCTGAGTGGATCTACTGACAAAGACGATGCGATTATCCCGACTACAAATATAGAAGAATAAGAATTCCTTTCTAATTTTAACACTGTCCTATTTATTGATGTAAAATTGAAACTCAAAAAGTTACAGAATATATCCTGACAAGAAATACATTGTGACCGAAAAGTTTTCGGGAAATTTTAAATAAAACGCAAAATTCTTAACCTTCATCAATATTTATTTTATCT